TTGACAACTCCGTTGTGTCCTCCTCCCAGAGTGCGAAGAGCCTTGGCGTGACCCTGGACAACACCCTGTCATTCTCCGCTAACATCAAGGCGGTGACCCGATCCTGTAGGTTCATGCTCCACAACGTTCGGAGAGTACGACCCTGCCTTATACAGGAAGCGGCACAGGTCCTAATCCAGGCACTTGTCATCTCCCGTCTGGATTACTGCAACTCGCTGTTGGCTGGGCTCCCTGCCTGTGCCATTAAACCCCTACAACTCATCCAGAATGCCGCAGCCCGTCTGGTGTTCAACCTTCCCAAGTTCTCTCACGTCACCCCGCTCCTCCGCACACTCCACTGGCTCCCAGTTGAAGCTCGCATCTGCTACAAGACCATGGTGCTTGCCTACAGAGCTGTGAGGGGAACGGCACCTCCATATTTTTAAAAAAACGAAACATTAAAAAAGATTTAAATAAAAATATATAAAAAAACATGGTAAAGTTGTTATCCCACTGGCTATAAGGTGAATGCACCTATTTGTAAGTCGCTCTGGATAAGAGCGTCTGCTAAATGACGTAAATGTAAATGAGTAAGTCAGTATAATTGGCAGTGGAAAGTCACCTAAATAAAGCACAGATGGGCGGGAGTTTGAGAAACATAGAACTACAGTATTTGTTCCTTTAGATTCTTAATGCATTATGCTTATGTAACACCTGCATCAATAGGATAAGACATAGCTCTCCTGGCTCCTACACTGCCCCATACGAGTGCTGTAGCTTCACTCAGGTCTGTAATGACTCACATTCACACTTAGAAAGGCTGTAAATTATGCAGAATTGCCTCAGAGTCTTTTGTAATCAAGCTCCCAGTAAGAGCAGATAATGGTGGAACCTGAAGGATTTTCATCACATGTACTACGTAATTGCCTTATTCGAACCCTGTAGATTTTATAATTAATTTTAAGGGGGAAAAGCTTGAACTCTCCTTGTTTCACTGACAGTGGGAGAGGAACCTTCCAGAATCTTAATTTGTTTCCTGTCATATTCCCGTACAATTGCAGAAGCCTGGGTCTGGGGATGCACTGAGGCTTATCCTGTTGAACAGCAGTTTATCATGCTGATAGAGCTGTGTTGAGTTGTGTTCGCATCCCCAGGTTCCTTTCCTGAGCTTTCACTCTTTCTCTTTGTCCAACAGCAGGCAAGGTAGGTAGGCAGATAAATTGTAAAAACGCCAACAAGAAAATGCACATACATAAATTCACATTTCCATGCTCAGTGGATCACCGATAAGAGAGACAAGAGCTGTAACAGGATATTCTGGCTTAGAGGACATTTTTATTTTCACATTTCACTTCTTGCCTACTGCAGGTGTTAGAAGTCTCATTAAATGCTGAAACTGTTTGTAATTAGAACACACAGTGGCAAGAAGCATAGCAGGAGCCATGCTCTTTGAGTTGAACCTGTGAATAAGGGCGTAGGAGCCGGGGGGACATGCCCCCCCCACCCCAATGTTAGAAGCAGGTAAAATGGTCCCTTTACCCCAATAAAATACAAATAAAAAAAACGATTTAAAACCCATGAAGTGAGGAATTTTTGTATAGAGGTCAATGAGAGTTGTCACGGCGGTTGTAAGGATGAAACCAATGCGCAGCGTAGCGAGTGAACATGACTTTAATTTGATAAAGAAACACACGACAAAACAAAACACGAACCGTGACGTCCTCAGTACACAGACTGAACATAGAACATTTGGAACAATAACCCACCACTAACACCAGAAAACCTACATCTTAAATATGGCTCCCAATCAGAGATAACGAGCCGAACAGCTGACACTCGTTACCTCCGATTGGGAGTCAATGAATACAAACACGCACAATCACCCAACATAGAAATACAACAACCTAGACACCCCCACATAGAAATACACCCAAAACAAATGAACATGAACAACCCTGGCTCAAGAATAAAGGTCCGTGGAGCCAGAGTGTCACAAGAGTGTCGAATTTGTTCAACAAAAAATGTAATTGCTAATTCTCTACGTGAGGCTTATTTGATTGAATAGAAGTTTTGTAATGATTAGGTTGTTACAAATGCACTGATATAAGTGGACACACGTGACATTTTGACAAAATGACTTTATATCGGAGTTGTGCCTGTTATCATAGAGATACAGTAGATAGAGGCTCATCATGGATATAACCCGTTTTAGCAAGGCGATTGCCACTGAGGGCTTCCACCATTTTAAAGTGGTCAACTGGGTGGGGATTCCTATGAGTTGGGAACAATCAGCCAATGGAGAAGAATAACATTTACTACATTAAATGGAGATAGCCTCAATAGCGCTGCCCATGCTGTCACAGATGCTATAATGGGAGAAAAAGCATTGTGCACCTCCACCATCATTACTCACCGCACCAGGTAAAGTAATTGTTGGCAACAATAAAGTACGTTTAAGTAAAAAGCATATGAATATGAATAAACTTTGGTATGTTAGAACGAACATGAGCAACTATTAGCATTCTCCTGGCTATGAGCTAATTAGCTTTACATTTACAGTTTAGTCATTTTTAGCTTTGTCAGGTTTATTCTAACTAGCTAGCGCTGGGTAGTTCTGACTGTGTGGAAAAACTGATAGTGAATGTTTTGAAGCCAAGAATACTTGCTAGCAACATAATTACTTGCACAATCACTGTCTCACTCTTCATCATAGGGTCAGCAAGTTAGCAATGGATGTGCTACCAGTCAAGAAGAGAAGAAAAAGATGACATAAGAGTTTTTTTCAAAAGTGCAAAGGACTGTAAGTAAGGTTCTTGGCAGCTGCCCGCACACCACCCTTGGCAAACTAGCTGGCAAATTTGAGTGCTTTCAGCTTACAGTGTAGATGTCTTTAACTTCATCAGAGTGATTATGGGTCATGAAGGTGTGTTCCATGTGTTAAGACCTTGTCTGGTGCTATCATGATCATGGCAGGAACAGAGACTAGGTGGGAACCGGATTACAGAGATTTCCTGCCCAAACCCACTCCCGTTTCCCAGGAAAAATAACTGTGAGAAACTGGTCAATTCTAAATAAGTATGTATATGAATAGCGTGACGTGAAATGGAACTGTTAAATTATATGCAAGGTCTAAATCTGGCTTCTCTATGGCCTTTTCTGCTCTGCTATCTACATCAACACTCAGTGTGTGTCTATGAGTGTGTGCTCTGTTGTAATAACCTATCTTATTTACTTGTTGTTTATGCATATTGTTTATGCTGAAACTGTACACATGACTTTGAAATGCAGTTAGTAAGCCTAAAATTGGCTCCCACTTTTGAGTTAATGGCAGGGGCGGTTCTATAATTTTTTTGTTGGCGTGGCCAATGGGGGACCAAGAACCAGTTGGTGTGACCATGGGAAATCAGCTAATTGTATCACAAATAGCATTGAAAATTGGCTTGAACTACGATTCATTGTATTGAATAACTGTTTTAATTGTTCATTTGAAGGGTAGGCCTACCTACTGTGTAGCAGAGCTTCACTAAAAGTAATGCCACCGAGGCAGAATGCAAAATCTGCACGTGCAGAATAAAATGTAGCTTATAGGCGGTTCGACAAGTGGACTAATCCGACATGCAGGCCTACACCCCCAACTTGCAAGGAAAGTGCAGACAGGGCGCTTTGGGGGGGGGGGGAGGGATTTAGCAGCAAAACATCCTAGAACGATGCAGTCTTACCTCAAGCCGATGCAAGCACTGGATGAAATTGTAGCAGAAATGGCTGCGAGCGATGGGTTCTCCTACCATGCCATTGCAAACAGCATTGTGCTACACACAATATCTACCTTATCTGCCAGACTGTTCCACAGTGTGCTGCAGTCCAATTTCATCTTGAGCTCTTTCCCAAACTCTTCCTTCACATAGCCTACCCTTGTAGCTTGTCATCACTGACCCCTGACTTGCGAAAGTGACGTGAAATCTTCCTCACTTTCTCCACTGTGCTTTGCAGCTCTCCTCTTAGCTTGGGTGTCAGTTTCTTTATGCTCCCCATCTTCTTCAGCATCAACACCAAGTTTGTGTAGTCAGAAGGCTCACATTTCATTTAATTTATGCTATGGTTATATTTGGATACAATGTAGGCTAGCCTATGTGTTTTGACCAACATTTTATTTAGTGAAAAGCCTGATTTATTTATATTTATTACATTATCATAACATTTCTATGAATAGCATATGCCTATGTTAACAAAGAGCGCCCAGATGTACCCTTAATTTGTTTTATGAAGTGTTTTGTTCATTTGAACCTGTTCTATTTTTGCCTCGGTGATTCAGGCAGTTTCAAACCACAACAACATAAATAAAACATTTAAAACAAGACCTTGAGAGATGACCAATGACTATAGATTTTTAGGCTCACGAATGATAACGAATGCAATAAGAAAAAGTTAGATTTTATTCTCGGGATGGACCATTTGTAAAATACCAGGAAAATATTAAACCCAAACAGAGGCCACAATCCAACAGGTAAGATAGTGAGAAGTGCCTCTCCAAGCTCATGGCTTGAATCAACAGACTGATGATCTGTCATATGTGAATCAATCTGAATGATCATATATGATATCTGATGAAATGATAGCAGCTAAAGTCTAGAGGGTGTATTGTATGAGTTAACTTAATGCAGGAGAGAGGCAGTCATAATTATATTTTATTTTTGATAATTGTGTAGAGTGGAGATTGATTCAATTCAATGTGCCTCCTTTAAAAAAAAACATATGTGTAAGCAGAAGTAGTAACAACCTGACAGGGGAAGTGGGAACAATACTAGGACATTAATCAGTAGCAGAGAAAGAGTACAACATGTTTGTTTAATTTAATATATCCACATTTACAGTCACACTGGTATTCAGTACAGTATTTCATGGCCATGGCACTAAGACTGATTTGCGGGCCCCGGTAGCATAATGTAACGTTATCCCTTTTCCCAATTAAACAAACTCAATCATATTATTTCTTAACAGGCACATTTCAGCCTACTTGTTATGCTATTCAGGACCTTTCATAACTTCAAGATGGCGGCGTCCATACGGGTGTGCTGTGCCCTCCGAATTACGCTGGGAGGTGAATATATTTCCTAAATTACAAATTTCTCTGTCACACAGATGTCTTACCACTAGAATATGTAATCGGGTTGCATACTACACGAACTGTGTAGTCTATTGGAATTATTTATATTTTGATGGACAAAGGCTGCACGCTATGCTATGGCTAATACTAGCTAGCTATAGCTTGTCATCCTCAGCTTGTCATTTAGCCAGACAGACAGCTAGCTATATAAACAAACCATTCCATCATAATGGATCCTTATCGATACCTTTGCATCCGTATTTCGTTTGGATCGCTTTCTGATGAATGCCTAGCCCTGTTCCATCGCGTGACGACAACGACTAGTTGCCTAGGCCAGGGGTATTCAACCGGGGGTCATGGCCCCCAATTGGTCCGCGGAGGTACTGCACGGGGGTTCGCCGAAATGTAAATATATAAAAAAGTGGAAAAAATATTTAGTTGATTTCAATGATTTTATGAATATAGCTAGCAACTACAGAATAAACTAATGTTGAATTACATACCTACACTAGAAAATAAAATATATTCTAATGATGTCAACTTTATTTCTCAACTAATATTGAGCAAATTACAGAGTTTCTATTGCCTTTGGTATTACACTCACTGGAATATCTGACTGGCTTTGAAAAAGCACCCACGAATAGGCTACCAGTGTGGCAAGTGCCGCTAGCTACCGTTAAGCTTTCTTGACTTGGACATAAATGTTTGCCAACACATGGCTAACCTTTTTTTAAGCAGCTAAACAGCTGCTCTTAGCGAAAATGTGTTTGGAGTTACCTTTCTAGCTAATAGGTAATGTAAGAGTTTACACTTCTTCTAATTATAATGTGGGCAGGTCAAAATTAATTTTAAAAAGCTGATTGCTTCTCCTTGACATTATAATTTCCCTGATGATAAGACAAGACGTGATTTTATTTTTGTTGCTAACGTATGATGGGGGTCGATGGTTTGCCTGGGAGGGGGTGCTGAGGAGTATTTCTGTCTGTAATAAACTCATTCGGATTGGCGGGGCCTGGCTCCCCAGTGGCTGGGCCTATGCCCACCCATGGCTGCACTCCTGCCCAGTCATATGAAATCCATAGAATAGGCCCTGATGAATTTATTTCAATTGACTGATTTTCTTCTATGAACTGTAACTCAGTAAAGTCTTTGAAATTGTTGCATGTTGCATTTATATTTTTGTTCACTTGTTTATTTGAACCAAATCTTCAGTCTCGTCTGGGATATACACTCACTGGACAGTTTATTAGGTACCCATCTAGTACTGGGTCGTACCCCCCTTTACCTCCAGAAAAGCCTGAATTCTTCGGGGCATTCTACAAGATGTCGGAAACGTTCCACAGGGATATTTGTCCATGCTGACGTGAACAGCCTGTTCCATCTTATCCCAAAGATGCTGTATTGCGTTGAGGTCTGGGGACTGCGCAGGCCACTCAAGTAAACTGAACTCGCTGTCATGTTCCAGGCAATGTTTTTCCACTCCTCAATTGTCCAGTGTTGGTTATCGTGTACCCACTGGAGCCGCTTCTTCTTGTTTTTAGCTGAAAGGAGTGGAACCCGGTCTGGTCGTCTGCTGCAATAGTGACAAGGGTCGATAAGTTGTGCTTTCTGAGATTCCGTTCTGCACACAACTGTTATACTGTTATGTCTGTTTGTGGCCCGCCTGTTAGCTTGCACAAGTCTTGCCATTCTCCTTTTTTGTTCGTTGCACCATTCTCGGTAAACCCTAGACACTGTTGTGCGTGAAAAGCCCAGTGGGGTGGACGTTTCTGAGATACTGGATCTGTCGCACCTGGCACCGACGATCATACCATGCTCAAAGTCACTTATTTTGCCCATTCTAACATTCAATCGAACAGTAACTGAATGCCTATCCGCCTGCTTTATATAGTAAGCCATGGCCACATGTCTCACTGTCTGTAGGAGTGATCCATTTTCCTGAATAGGGTGGTGTGCCTAATAAACTGGCTGGTGAGTGTATTTCATCACACAGACAAACAGCCATAGTGGAGGACGTTTACATAGTGCATAAAATATTACCACCAGAGGAGCTTACTTCTCTGTGCTCTGGAGAGATCGCAGGTAGTTGGTCGAAGGCTCTGGAGGTCCTTGCAATATTCTGTCTGTAGCACCTGTAGTGAGATGGATAGAGGTACTGAATACACTTCAAAGAGAGCGAGCAAGAGAGTTAATGTTTTACGTTGTGGATTATTGAGGACTATAAGGGTGCCTTCCAATCAGACAAATGGATGCCAGTGTTTCACTTATATGCATTTAGCAGCGGCGCACCGCCATTGGAGGGGGGGATCATTTTCAGGATGGTATAAGGTTTTCGGTGTATACTTAAACGTCTAAAAACAGAGAAAGTACAGTGGGGAAAAAAAGTATTTAGTCAGCCACCAATTGTGCAAGTTCTCCCACTTAAAAAGATTAGAGAGGCCTGTAATTTTCATCATAGGTACACGTCAACTATGACAGAAAAATTGAGAAAGAAAAATCCAGAAAATCACATTGTAGGATTTTTTATGAATTTATTTGCAAATTATGGTGAAAAATAAGTATTTGGTCACCTACAAACAAGCAAGATTTCTGGCTCTCACAGACCTGTAACTTATTCTTTAAGAGGCTCCTCTATCCTCCACTCGTTACCTGTATTAATGGCACCTGTTTGAACTTGTTATCAGTATAAAAGACACCTGTCCACAACCTCAAACAGTCACACTCCAAACTCCACTATGGCCAAGACCAAAGAGCTGTCAAAGGACACCAGAAATTGTAGACCTGCACCAGGCTGGGAAGACTGAATCTGCAATAGGTAAGCAGCTTGGTTTGAAGAAATCAACTATGGGAGCAATTATTAGGAAATGGAAGACATACAAGACCACTGATAATCTCCCTCGATCTGGGGCTCCACGCAAGATCTCACCCCGTGGGGTCAAAATGATCACAAGAACGGTGAGCAAAAATCCCAGAACCACACGGGGGGACCTAGTGAATGACCTGCAGAGAGATGGGACCAAAGTAACAAAGCCTACCATCAGTAACACACTACGCCGCCAGGGACTCAAATCCTGCAGTGCCAGACGTGTCCCCCTGCTTAAGCCAGTAGATGTCCAGGCCTGTCTGAAGTTTGCTAAAGTGCATTTGGATGAAGAAGAGGATTGGGAGAATGTCATATGGTCAGATGAAACCAAAATAGAACTTTTTGGTAAAAACTCAACTCGTCGTGTTTGGAGGACAAAGAATGCTGAGTTGCATCCAAAGAACACCATACCTACTGTGAAGCATGGGGGTGGAAACGTCATGCTTTGGGGCTGTTTTTCTGCAAAGGGACCAGGACGACTGATCCGTGTAAAGGAAAGAATGAATGGGGCCATGTATCGTGAGATTTTGAGTGAAAACCTCCTTCCATCAGCAAGGGCATTGAAGATGAAACGTGGCTGGGTCTTTCAGCATGACAATGATCCCAAACACACCGCCGGCAACGAAGGAGTGGCTTCGTAAGAAGCATTTCAAGGTCCTGGATTGCCTAGCCAGTCTCCAGATCTCAACCCCATAGAAAATCTTTGGAGGGAGTTGAAAGTCCGTGTTGCCCAGCGACAGCCCCAAAACATCACTGCTCTAGAGGAGATCTGCATGGAGGAATGGGCCAAAATACCAGCAACAGTGTGTGAAAACCTTGTGAAGACTTACAGAAAACGTTTGACCTGTGTCATTGCCAACAAAGGGTATATAACAAAGTATTGAGAAACTTTTGTTATTGACCAAATACTTATTTTCCACCATAATTTGCAAATAAATTCATTAAAAATCCTACAATGTGATTTTCTGGATTTTGTTTTCTCATTTTGTCTGTCATAGTTGACGTGTACCTATGATGAAAATTACAGGCCTCTCTCATGTTTTTAAGTGGGAGAACTTGCACAATTGGTGGCTGACTAAATACTTTTTTGCCCCACTGTATGTCTATATATAATGGAGCAATATATTTTTAAATAAGATCATCTTTGAGAACTATCTCCAAAATAAAAACTAGACAGGGAGAATCAAAAATTCCAAAAGTATCATGGCATAGATGTGGTAAAGTGTTCAATAGAATGCAGGCCGTGGGGATAGACGGACGCCGGATTGGCGCACATTCAACAAATCTAATCTAACAAATTGGATATTCGTCAAATCCATCATGATTCATGTATTGTAACAGGCCCATAATGTGGATACTAAAGTTGGATTTTGATATACAGTTTAAGTCAGAAGTTTACATACACCTTAGCCAAATACATTTAAACTCAGTTTTTCACAATTCCTGACATTTAATCCTAGTAAAAATTCCCTGTTTTAGGACAGTTAGGATCACCACTTTATTTTAAGAATGTGAAATGTCAGAATTATAGTAGAGAGAGATTTATTTCAGCTTTTATTTCTTTCATCACATTCCCTGTGAGTCAGAAGTTTACATACACTCAATTAGTATTTGGGAGCATTGCCTTTTAAATTGTTTAACTTGGGTCAAACGTTTCGGGTAGCCTTCCACAAGCTTCCCTCAATAACTTGGGTGAATTTTGGCCCATTCCTCCTGACAGAGCTGGTGTAACTGAGTCAGGTTTGTAGGCCTCCTTGCTCGCATATGCTTTATACCCACAAATGTTCTATAGGATTGAGGGTCAGGGCTTTGTGACAGCCACTCCAATAACTTTACTTTGTTGTCCTTAAGCCGTTTTGCCACAACTTTGGAAGAATGCTTGGGGTCATTGTTCATTTAGAAGACTCATTTGCGACCAAGCTTTAACTTCCTGACTGATGTCTTGAGATGTTGCTTCAATATATCCAGATAATTTTCCTTCCTCATGACGCCATCTATTTTGTGAAGCGCACCAGTCCCTCCTGCAGCAAAGCACCCCCACAGCATGATGCTGCCACCCCCGTTCTTTACGGTTGGGATGGTGTTCTTCGGCTTGCAAGCAACCCCCTTTTTCCTCCAAACATAACGATGATCATTATAGCCAAACAGTTATATTTTTGTTTCATCAGACCAGAGGACAGTTCTCCAAAAAGTACGATCTTTGTCCCCATGTGCAGTTGCAAACTGTATTCTGGCTTTTTTATGGCGGTTTTGGAGCAGTGGCTTCTTCCTTGCTGAGCAGCCTTTCAGGTTATGTCTCGCTGTTGGCTGGGCTCCCTGCCTGTGTCATTAAACCCCTACAACTCATCCAGAATGCCGCAGCCCGTCTGGTGTTCAACCTTCCCAAGTTCTCTCACGTCACCCCGCTCCTCCGCACACTCCACTGGCTTCCAGTTGAAGCTCGCATCTGCTACAAGACCATGGTGCTTGCCTACGGAGCTGTGAGGGGAACGGCACCTCCGTACCTTCAGGCTCTGATCAGTCCCTACACCCAAACGAGGGCACTGCGTTCATCCACCTCTGGCCTGCTGGCTCCCCTACCTCTGCGGAAGCATAGTTCCCGCTCAGCCCAGTCAAAACTGTTCGCTGCTCTGGCACCCCAATGGTGGAACAAGCTCCCTCACGACGCCAGGACAGCGGAGTCACTCACCACCTTCCGGAGACATTTGAAACCCCACCTCTTTAAGGAATACCTGGGATAGGATAAAGTAATCCTTCTACCCCCCCCCCCCCCCCCCCCCCCCCCAAAAAAAAAAAAAAAAAAAAACATTGTAAAGTGGTTATCCCACTGGCTATAAGGTGAATGCACCTATTTGTAAGTCGCTCTGGATAAGAGTGTCTGCTAAATGACGTAAATGTAAAATGTAAATGTAATGTCGATATAGGACTTGTTCTACTGTGGTTATAGATACTTTTGTACCTGTTTCCTCCAGCATCTTCACAAGGTCCTTTGCTGTTGTTCTGGGATTTATTTGCTCTTTTCGCACCAAAGTATGTTTATCTCTAGGAGACAGAACGCGTCTCCTTCCTGACCGGTATGACGGCTGCGTGGTCCCATGGTGTTTATACTTGCGTACTATTGTTTGTACAGATGAACGTGGTACCTTCAGGCGTTTGGAAATTGCTCCCAAGGATGAACCAGACTTGTGGAGGTCTGCAATTTTTTTTCTGAGGTCTTGGCTGATTTCTTTTGGTTTTCCCATGATGTCAAGCAAAGAGGCACTGAGTTTGAAGGTAGGCCTTGAAATACATCCACAGGTACACCTCCAATTGACTCAAATTATGTCAATTAGCCTACCAGCAGCTTCTAAAGCCAAGACATAATTTTCTGGAATTTTACAAGCTGTTTAAAGGCACAATCAACTTAGTGTACATAAACTTCTGACCCACTGGAATTGTGATACGGTGAATTATAAGTGAAATAATCTGTCTGTAAACGATTGTTGGAAAAATTACTTGTGTCATGCACAAAGTAGATGTCCTAACCGACTTGCCAAAACGATAGTTTGTTACCAAGAAATTTGTGGAGTGGTTGAAAAACCTAAGTGTATGTAAACTTCTGACTTCAACTGTATTTGGCTGTATAACATTTAGAAGTTGGCCCTTTTCAGCTTTAGAAGAAGTGACTGATACATTCTAACTTCTGTTCCTATAAGCTGATAGCATAGCTAATAGCAAATCGGTGGTGGTAGTCAGTCGTTTTTACTGTAATGCAGTTGATTGGTGACGATGGCATGAACATATATTGGGGTTGACATCCATACAAGCATTATATTCAGATTTGTGTGAAATACACATACAGTGCATTCGGAAAGTATTCAGACCCCTTCACTTTTCCCACATTTTGTTACGTTACAGCCTTATTCTAAAATGGATTAAATAAACAAATTTCCTCATCAATCTACACACACTACCCCATAATGACAAAAATGAAATACCTTATGTACATAAGTATTCAGACCATTTGCTATGAGACTCGAAATTGAGCTCAGGTGCATCCTGTTTCCATTGATCATCCTTGAGATGTATCTACAACTTGATTGGAGTCCACCTGTGGTAAATTCAATTGATTGGACATGAAAGGCACACACCTGTCTATATAAGGTCCCACAGTTGACAGTGCATGTCAGTGCAAAAACCAAGCCATGAGGTTGAAGGAATTGTCCGTAGAGCTCCGAGACAGGATTGTTGTTGAGGCAACGATCTGGGGAAGGGTAGAAAAACAATTCTGCAGTATTGAAGTTCCCCAAGAACACAGTGGCCTCCATCATTCTTAAATGAAAGAAGTTTGGAACTTCCTAGAGCTGGCCTCCCGGCCAAACTGAGCAATTGGGGGAGAAGGGCCTTGGTCAGGGAGGTGACCAAGAACCCGATGGTCACTCTGACAGAGCTCCAGAGTACCTCTGTGGAGACGGGAGAACCTTCCAGAAGGACAACCATCTCTGCGGCACTCCACCAATCAGGCCTTTATGGTAGAGTGGCCAGATGGAAGCCACTCCTCAGTAAAAGCCACATGACAGCCCGCTTGGAGTTTGCCAAAAGGCACCTAAAGGACTCTCAGACCATGAGAAACAAGATTCTCTGGTCTTATGAAACAAAGATTGAACTCTTTGGCCTGAATGCCAAGCGTCACATCTGGAGGAAACCTGGCACCATCCCTACGGTGAAGCATGGTGGTAGCAGCATCATGCTGTGTGTGTTTTTCAGCAGCAGGGACAGGGAGACTAGTCAGGATCGAGGGAAAGATGAACGGAGCAAAGTACAGAGAGATCCTTGATGAAAACCTGCTCCAGAGCGCTCAGGACCTCAGACTGGGGCGAAGGTTCACCTTCCAACAGGACAACAACCCTAAGCACACAGCCAAGACAACGCAGGAGTGGCTTTGGGACAAGTCTCTGAATGTTCTTGAGTGTCCCAGCCAGAGCCCGGACTTGAACCCGAGCGAACATCTCTGGAGACCTGAAAATAGCTATGCAGTGACGCTCCCCATCCAACCTGACAGCTTGAGAGGATCTGCAGAGAAGAATGGGAGAAACTCCCCAAATACAGGTGTGCCAAGCTTGTAGCGTTATACCCAAGAAGACTCGAGGCTGCCAACTCTAAAAACATGTTTTTGCTTTGTCATTATTGGGTATTGTGTGTAGATTGATGAGGGGAAAAAACGATTTAATACATTTTAGAATAAGGCTGTAACGTGTAACAAAATGTGGAAAAGTGAAGGGGTCTGAATACTTTCCAAATGCACTGTACATGTGACTCTGGATGACAATATAATGATGTTTGTTTCCAATATAAGGGATATTTTCCTAAAGAAGTTAAATCCGCTTCATGTTTTGTTTCCTTGCCATGATACTAACGAGTATCGCGATACTGATATCGTCCCGGATCTATCATTAACACCCAAAATAAATAAGACAGGATAATTTGCGTTAGCTCATTTCTAACTGTTCTAGGTGATTTTACACTATAGTAAATTACATTACCTCTCTGTGCTGTGTTTCAGGGGTAGCACAACTTCGGACTGCACGGGGCGCCCTGCCCCTCTCTCACCTGGCCAGACCCACTGCCTCTCTATGGACCCCTACCCCACTAGCTCCTGCTACCTGGATACAGACCAGACATAGCAGCTTCTTCAACAAACGTAAGTGCTGGTGTTCCCCAACTCTCAAGAGTTGATAGAGCACCTATTTTAAAGCTTACAGTGGGGGAAAAAAGTATTTAGTCAGCCACCAATTGTGCAAGTTCTCCCACTTAAAAAGATGAGAGAGGCCTGTAATTTTCATCATAGGTACACGTCAACTATGACAGACAAAATGATTTTTAAAAAATCAGAAAATCACATTGTAGGATTTTTTTATGAATTTATTTGCAAATTATGGTGGAAAATAAGTATTTGGTCAATAACAAAAGTTTCTCAATACTTTGTTATATACCCTTTGTTGGCAATGACACAGGTCAAACGTTTTCTGTAAGTCTTCACAAGGTTTTCACACACTGTTGCTGGTATTTTGGCCCATTCCTCCATGCAGATCTCCTCTAGAGCAGTGATGTTTTGGGGCTGTCGCTGGGCAACACAGACTTTCAACTCCCTCCAAAGATTTTCTATGGGGTTGAGATCTGGAGACTGGCTAGGCCACTCCAGGACCTTGAAATGCTTCTTACGAAGCCACTCCTTCGTTGCCTGGGCGGTGTGTTTGGGATCATTGTCATGCTGAAAGACCCAGCCACGTTTCATCTTCAATGCCCTTGCTGATGGAAGGAGGTTTTCACTCAAAATCTCACGATACATGGCCCCATTCATTCTTTCCTTTACACGGATCAGTCGTCCTGGTCCCTTTGCAGAAAAACAGCCCCAAAGCATGATGTTTCCACCCCCATGCTTCACAGTAGGTATGGTGTTCTTTGGATGCAACTCAGCATTCTTTGTCCTCCAAACACGACGAGTTGAGTTTTTACCAAAAAGTTATATTTTGGTTTCATCTGACCATATAACATTCTCCCAATCCTTTTCTGGATCATCCAAATGCACTCTAGCAAACTTCAGACGGGCCTGGACATGTACTGGCTTAAGCAGGGGGACACGTCTGGCACTGCAGGATTTGAGTCCCTGGCGGCGTAGTGTGTTACTGATGGTAGGCTTTGTTACTTTGGTCCCAGCTCTCTGCAGGTCATTCACTAGGTCCCCCCGTGTGGTTCTGAGATTTTTGCTCACCGTTCTTGTGATCATTTTGACCCCACGGGGTGAGATCTTGCGTGGAGCCCCAGATCGAGGGAGATTATCAGTGGTCTTGTATGTCTTCCATTTCCTAATAATTGCTCCCACAGTTGATTTCTTCAAACCAAGCTGCGTACCTATTGCAGATTCAGTCTTCCCAGCCTGGTGCAGGTCTACAATTTTGTTTCTGGTGTCCTTTGACAGCTCTTTGGTCTTGGCCATAGTGGAGTTTGGAGTGTGACTGTTTGAGGTTGTGGACAGGTGTCTTTTATACTGATAACAAGTTCAAACAGGTGCCATTAATACAGGTAACGAGTGGAGGACAGAGGAGCCTCTTAAAGAAGAAGTTACAGGTCTGTGAGAGCCAGAAATCTTGCTTGTTTGTAGGTGACCAAATACTTATTTTCCACCATAATTTGCAAATAAATTCATTAAAAATCCTACAATGTGATTTTCTGGATTTTTTTTCCACAATTTGTCTGTCATAGTTGACGTGTACCTATGATGAAAATTACAGGCCTCTCATCTTTTTAAGTGGGAGAACTTGCACAATTGGTGGCTGACTAAATACTTTTTTCCCCACTGTATCTATCCAATCATTATCAGCTAAGCTCTTCAAGTGAACAAATCAAATCATTATTAGCTGACGTCAGCTCTGACATGTGCTCAACCTTCACTAAAATTGTGCTGATATTCACAAAGCGAATCATCCCTGACTCCGGTCTGGTCTACGAATGTAATATCTTGATACTGCCCCAGTATTACCAGAAACAGCACTATAATATAGACATAACTACTTGAGAATTTTAATAGAACTCACTTAAAATGGCCTGAGCTCGCTAAGTGAGACTTATTCACAGTGGTGGAACCTGTCAAATGCAGAGCTTCCACAGGGAGGTGTATGTCTGTCAGCTCAGCACAGCAGAGGCAGGCAGCCACACTATTTCCTGCAGCTTCTCCCTGAGATAATTACCCATGCTAAATCTGTCACCACCGGCTCCGTCTCAGCCTATGCATGGAAACCCAAACACACACCCATCATTCCTCTCACTTTATTAACCTGCCGCCTTCAGTTGACGCTCTCTCAGCACAATATTTATATTTACAGTATACATACTCAAGAGACATTGTCACTTTGATTGCTTTGTATCTCCAGACTTTGCTTTGGTGTATCCTATGATGTTTCAGAACACTTTTAAAAGATTTTTCTGGCAAATTATTCTTTATCAATGAGTTTTCACAATTGACTGACATCCGGTTGAACTGTTTTGGCCAGACTGCTTTGGTTATTTTTTGATAGGAAAAGGTAAACTTTTCCAGAAGATGTGGAACGCCAGAATTGTCACTAGATTCTATATTAACTTTAGTTTGTTATCTTTATCACATAAGTTAGGCTAAAACCTAGTCTAATTTGATTTGATGTGATGCTGTGTTTACTAATGTGGGACTCGGACATGATTGTTTCTCTGCCTGATGCCAGGCTTTCTAATAGCTGGACATGGCAGCCTAGCCCAGGATCATTACTACTGCGAATGAAAGCTGCTGGGCTGCCTGACTGGCTGACTGACTGGTGGCAGAGCAGATGCTGCTGATGCATTTTTAAGTTGCAGAATCTAATGATAGTGTCAGACATCTGATATGAGCATCTGAGTGGCCAGCTTCACTGACTGGGCACGGAGAAGGAGTCAAGAGAGAATGGAAAACGGCTTCACTGACTGGGCACGGAGAAGGAGTCAAGAGAGAATGGAAAACAGCTTCACTGACTGGGCACGGAGAAGGAGTCAAGAGAGAATGGAAAACAGCTTCACTGACTGGGCACGGAGAAGGAGTCAAGAGAGAATGAAAAACAGCTTCACTGACTGGGCACGGAGAAGGAGTCAAGAGAGAATGAAAAACAGCTTCACTGACTGGGCACGGAGAAGGAGTCAAGAGAGAATGAAAAACAGCTTCACTGACTGGGCACGGAGAAGGAGTCAAGAGAGAATGGAAAACAGCTTCACTGACTGGGCACGGAGAAGGAGTCAAGAGAGAATGGAAAACAGGGCCCCTATGCTTGTACACAGTGTCAATGTAAGAAATGTTGTGAAAAGGTATCACTGAGTGATGAACTTTTCAACAGACTTCTGCTCAAGGGCTTGGTGCTTTGAAGATAATATTTTCACTAGTTCATAACAAATTGTTGGAGATGAGCTGGAATCTTTTTGTTTTATTCTCACTCAGAACTCTGTTCAGAATTCATGTTTGATTATATTTTGTCTCTAAACAAGCGTTACTGAATTAGATGTGCAGTATGCCTCTTTGCTGCTTTAGTTTGCATCCCATTTTAAGTCTTGTAGCAAAGAAGTCTCCTTGCTATGGGAAAAGTGAGGGAAAACAACTTGCATACTGTAGAAGAGCCTGGCCTGTTGTTCTTTTCATGCCTTTCAACTTTTTTTTGACTATCATCTGTTGTAGCATGGTTGTGCCATCCAAAAGGAGAGATGGATGGAAATAATCAAAGTTGGTGTGCATTGGCCCCCAGGAGTGAGACTATTGAAGTGCTCGATGCTGCTAGCATTGGTTACAGTTTTTTGATTGACCAGTAGAATAGTTAAGTGCATTGATCTAGAATGGATTAAAATTCCACACTATCTATCTAGATCTAGGACTCCCTTTTCAAACATTCCTCATGGCAAGGACACTAGATTTAGCCTCAAGCAAGGTTTGACTCTTTGACAATCATAGCTTTTATTTGCCTAGTGCTTTGTTGCTTTGCTGTAGTACAAAGCTCAAGCACACTGGTTACATCTCCCTTCACATGCTTTAATTAACTCATAATCAAATCTCTGTGTGGCACTGAGCATCTCCTTCTAAATCCTTGAGAAGCAAGCAGACCGGCTGAAAATAGATTTGATTTGGAAAAAACAAACCAGCATTCTCAATCTCTGAGTAATAGAGGGTGTTTGTTTGCTGGAATGCACAGTGCGTTCTAGCAGGTTTGATTAGTGCATGACTGTAGATGCAGATTGTAATTTCGGGGCTCTTGTGTTGGAGGTCGATCCCAGACTTGTTGCATTGAGATGAGTTTACAGAAGCAGCACAAAGTCTAAAAACATTGTTGTACTTGCAAATGTGTTTACAAATAGTAATATTATGCAGACTGTGTTCAGACACTCAGGTACTTCAGGACAAGGGCGGCCTGTAGCGAAGGTAAAACTGCTTTCCTTTTTTACTTTCGCTGGCTACACAAGTAAATCTACATCAAAGAGAAGGTTCAATATATTTCAAACTCTTTAGCGTTGTTCTAATTTTCTATTCCTAGAGTTTTGTAGGTAGGTAAAACATATATAGGCTAAGATCATCCCTGGTCGTGACCCCACTCTCTGACAGTGTCTCAGGGGGTGTGGGATATGCAAAAAACACATTTTCATTTCACACCACACACTTGTACAGGTGTGTGAAACAGGACAAATATAAGCACCCCCTATTTAAATACCTTTTTATTAATCAGTATCCTACAGGCAACGAGACGATTGTTTTCAATATTCTGGACAAAGAGGGATGCTCCATTGAGGTTGCCAGATTAGTCAGATTTGGCAATTAAATCCCTATTTCTGTGTGTTATCATTGCAGTGACAGCAGAGGAGCTTTGGAGGGGAGTTCTGGCAGAGACGGGTGCCGGTGCTCGGAAGGGTCGTGGGAAGAGGACCAAGAGGAAGATGAAAAAGGATCTGAACCGAGGCCAGAACATCGGAGAGGGTAAGATGGATATATTGTTTAGATCTATTTCATTCATAGTTATTTCTATGTCCCTGTAACTCAAACATTTTACTTTATGTTGGAGAAAGATAGTACACCCACTACGATTGGTTGGTATCATGTATATTTCTGTCTTTAATGCCAAACCTGAATTTGAGTTTGGATATTGATGGCTAAAGTTTGATCTGAATTTCCTTCTGCTAATGGGCAGTAGACAGACACTCTCGACTATTAATCTTTTACTAGTAATATTTTATTAATTACATTAATTTATAATGAACAGATTAGTCCTCTTTCTCTTATCATCTATCTCAGTGCTGTTTAAAAAGTGGAAATTCATTGAGAGTGTTTTATTGCTGAGCTGTCTGCGGCCCAGTCAGTCTCTCTCTTTCTTTTCTGGCCCTTTTCAAATCCATCAAACCCTACAGATGTGACAAGATTGTGTAATCAGTGCCACATTGGTTGAAGCGCTGTCTACTCCCTGTAATCATTGCCCCATCTCTCCCTTCTGTGTGTCTGTCTGTGTCTCTGTGACGCCTATTCTTTATACAGTCTGTAACGTATAATAAAGTTGAAGTTAGTGCTCCGTTTGAGTTGAGTTAGTGCAGTGGAGCGTTTAGGACAAATTAATGCTCCTTTCCGTAACAAACCGCCTAACCTCTCTCTGTGTCTCTGTTAGGGCGCGGGGGGTTCCTGTGGCCGGGGTTGAACGCGCCCATCCTGAAGAGTGGGACCATACAGAACATGTCTCGCCGCGGGGAGTCAGAGCAACAGGAACTGCAGGCAGAGCTTCTGCGACAGCGCGACGAATGGGATCGCAGGAGGAAGATGAGGGTGAAGAGGGAGCGAGGGTGGACTGGCAACTCCTGGGGAGGCATCAGTCTGGGGGCCCCTGACCCTGGACCCAACGGAGGTACTGTGTGTGTGTGTAAAGTGTGCACATTAGGGATGTAACGATTCACCGATGCACATCGGTCCCCGGTTCAAATGTTTTAAATATGAGCAATCCAAATGTAGCATGCATCGGTAAGAAAATAGATTCAAACGTTATGAATCTGCAGTTTTTTGCTCAAATTACTTTTTTCCTACCTTCCGAAAATACCTCTCGTCTTTTGTGACAACTGCGTCCTCTCCTTCAGTGTCAAACTAAGCATGTCATTATGTTGATAGTCATTGATCTACAAGTCATTTTGCATGCCGAACAACCCCAGGCAATATCAGTAGCCTAGTCAAACTGCACGCTGACCGTTGAGAGCTAGGCCTATTCCTGATCTGGCACATATACACATCACCTTCAGCATTCAAATGTTTGTAAAATGGCTTGCGCAATATTAGGCTTTATTAGTTGAGTGACAACCATGTAATTTATACGGTTATTTTTTATTAAATGCACTGTTGAAAATTGTGTTTTACCGGAATAAAATTAGCCTAAGCTACCGCCGGAGACAACTCTCATCTGGCTATAGGCAGTGGTGGAAAAAGTACCCAAATGCCATACTTGAGTAAAAGTATCTTTTAATAGAAAATGACTCAAGTGAAAGTCTACTTGAGTAAAAGTCTAAATGTATTTGGTTTTAAATATACTTAAGTATCAAAAGTAAATGTAATTGCCAAAATATACTTAATTATCAAAAGTAAAAGTATAGATCATTTCAAATTCCTTATATTAAGCAAACCAGACGGCACCATTGTCTTGTTTTTTAAATGTACGAATAGCTAGGGGCATACTCCAACACTCAGACATCATTTACAAATGAAGCATTTGTGTTTATTGAATCCGTCAGATCAGAGGCAGTAGAGATGAGATGCCAGGGGTGTTCTCTTGATGTGCGTGAATTGGACCATCTTCCTGTCCTGCTGAGCATTCAAAATGTAACTAGTACTTTTGAGTGTCAGGGAAAATGTATGGAGTAAAAAGTACATTATTTTCTTTAGTAATGTAGTGAAGTAAAAGTTGTCAAAAATATAAATAGTAGAGTACAGATACCCCAAAAAACTACTTAAGTAGTACTTTCAAGTATTTTTACTGAAGTACTTTACACCACTGGCCATAGGTAGGCTATATGCTGATCGGGGCTTACATTAGATTTTATATTGATTGTTCAGTTTTACCATCAGCAATAGTTTTGGTAGTTTTGCTTGAAACGATCAGTATTTATGGTCATTTTTAGATATACAGGGTAAAGGTGATAATTTCGTAACGAGGACCGCAATCACTTTTGTGTGTGTGTGTGGGGAAACTTTTGCAAAAGGAAAACATCGCCCCCTAACTGACAGTGGGGTGATAGATGCCCAGTTTCCCCACACACACACACTTTAGCTCAGACAGATCCAGCTCATGAGCTCCATCAGCAGCAGATTACAATTTAGAATGGAAAATGAATGTGTTTATGCAACAAAAGTTAGTGCATTGAATCATTCCTCTAATCAAACTGAATCACACCAAATCGTTTCAAGCTAAAACATATCGTTCCTGTATTGAATCGAAGCCCATCTATCTAAATACGTATCGAATTGTCTTGAAAGGGAAAGATGCACATCCCTAGTGCACATACTTTGAAGGACTGTTTTTCCAACAAACATCAATCACTATTATTGTGAAGTAGCATTATCTTGGATCAGATTTAATATTGTTGCTATATTATTGAAGCAAAGCGATCTGCATTCCTCACACACACTCTGACATGCTTCCATGCATCACCTCTGGCCTAGCTGTATTATAGTAATGACAGAGCGTATTCCTCCAACTAGGCATATTTACAACACTGGGCCATTCCTCCTAGCATTCTATCAGCATTCTATCTGCTCCGGTAATCAATACCCCTGGTGGTAGTGAAATGGCAGGTTGGGTCACTCTTTTCCTTCTGAAAGCTCCAAATGCCAGCAGCCTCCACGACTCGGTGCCTTTCAAACGCTGCACCACACGGTAAAGGCTCAGTCCACTGGGGAGAGCACAGCCCGTACCTCTGTCTGGAAAGGGCAAATGTCACCTGGAGCTAGCAGGGCGACAAGCAGGAAACTGAGAGCCAACCGAGCCTAGCGAAACACAATGAAAGGCCAGTAGAGACCCTTCCCCTCCCACCAACCCTCTCCAACACTAAGGCTAACCAAAACCTGTGATGTAAATTCATTACATATTACCAATATTTCTATGAAATGATCAATAAACTTTGAGATTATTTTGATCAAGTCTTTGGCATTTAAAATTATATACAGTGGGGATAAAATGTATTTAGTCAGCCACCAATTGTGCAAGTTCTCCCACTTAAAAAGATGAGAGAGGCCTGTAATTTTCATCATAGGTACATGTCAACTATGACAGACAAAATGAGAGAGAAAAAATCCAGAAAATCACATTGTAGGATTTTTTATGAATTTATTTGAAAATTATGGTGGAAAATAAGTATTTGGTCAATAACAAAAGTTTCTCAATACTTTGTTATATACCCTTTGTTGGCAATGACACAGGTCAAACGTTTTCTGTAAGTCTTCACAAGGTTTTCACACACTGTTGCTGGTATTTTGGCCCATTCCTCCATGCAGATCTCCTCTAGAGCAGTGATGTTTTGGGGCTATCGCTGGGCAACACGGACTTTCAACTCCCTCCAAAGATTTTCTATGGGGTTGAGATCTGTAGACTGGCTAGGCCACTCCAGGACCTTGAAATGCTTCTTACGAAGCCACTCCTTCGTTGCCCGGGTGGTGTGTTTGGGATCATTGTCATGCTGAAAGACCCAGCCACGTTTCATCTTCAATGCCCTTGCTGATGGAAGGAGGTTTTCACTCAAAATCTCACGATACATGGCCCCATTCATTCTTTCCTTTACACGGATCAGTCGTCCTGGTCCCTTTGCAGAAAAACAGCCCCAAAGCATGATGTTTCCACCCCCATGCTTCACAGTAGGTATGGTGTTCTTTGGATGCAACTCAGCATTCTTTGTCCTCCAAACACGACGAGTTGAGTTTTTACCAAAAAGTTATATTTTGGTTTCATCTGACAATATGACATTCTCCCAATCCTCTTCTGGATCATCCAAATGCACTCTAGCAAACTTCAGACGGGCCTGGACATGTACTGGCTTAAGCAGGGGGACACGTCTTGCACTGCAGGATTTGAGTCCCTGGCGGCGTAGTGTGTTACTGATGGTAGGCTTTGTTACTTTGGTCCCAGCTCTCTGCAGGTCATTCACTAGGTTCTTGTGATCATTTTGACCCCACGGGGTGAGATCTTGCGTGGAGCCCCAGATCGAGGGAGATTATCAGTGGTCTTGTATGTCTTCCATTTCCTAATAATTGCTCCCACAGTTGATTTCTTCAAACGAAGCTGCTTACCTATTGCAGATTCAGTCTTCCCAGCCTGGTGCAGGTCTACAATTTTGTTTCTGGTGTCCTTTGACAGCTCTTTGGTCTTGGCCATAGTGGAGTTTGGAGTGTGACTGTTTGAGGTTGTGGACAGGTGTCTTTTATACTGATAACAAGTTCAAACAGGTGCCATTAATACAGGTAACGAGTGGAGGACAGAGGAGCCTCTTAAAGAAGAAGTTACAGGTCTGTGAGAGCCAGAAATCTTGCTTGTTTGTAGGTGACCAAATACTTATTTTCCACCATAATTTGCAAATAAATTCATAAAAAATCCTACAATGTGATTTTCTGGAATTTTTTTCCTCAATTTGTTTGTCATAGTTGACGTGTACCTATGATGAAAATTACAGGCCTCTCTCATCTTTTTAAGTGGGAGAACTTGCACAATTGGTGGCTGACTAAATACTTTTTTCCCCCACTGTATCAGGTCTTTGACATTTTTTTATTATGTTTGAGATGTAGGCCTGTTGATACATTCTAGATAAAGTGAAAAGTCTCTCATTTTTGAGGAGGAGGGATGAGCGGGGCCATCTGTAGGACTGAGGGATAGCAGACTGAGGGATAGCACTGTATGCAGGCCCATTAGCACCTCATGACTGATGGAGAGCAAGATTAAACAGAAGGGACAGTGAGGCTTTGTCCACATTTAGAAAGTAATCTCTCTACCACCCACTCACCCCTTTCCTCCCTTCCTCTCTCGTTTCTCAGCTCTGTCCATTTGGCCCTTTACCCCTCCGAGGGACATCTTATTTAGGGCTTGGAATATTAAAGTAGTCAAAAAGTTCAAACATTCAGAACTGCAGAACTTGAGAATATAAGTAAGTTGCCTGAGTAACATATTGATGGTGTTCCTCTGTCATAGTTCTCTTTCAGTTATGTCTTTACACTATGTCTCTGCATCCCCTCTCATCTCGCTGTGAGATGAACACTGGTATCATCCCCCATCCTCTCACCACCCCTACCACTGTTTCTATTGTAACACATCACAGACAGAACAATCTGTTTAATTTAAGTCGTCGTCACACAGCACAGCCAGGATTTATTTGTTATACATTTATTTGATATGTTGATTTCCTCCAGTCGTCTGGGCAGCGCTGGGTTGGTTATTACATTTCCTGCCTTCCGGTGGCTCTCTCTCTTGCTAGTCTAACTGCAGCGTCTGCTATGGCTTCTAGTCACCACGGTGATGGATTACCATGCGGTGGCGTGGACAGGAGTCTAAATCACAGCTCTGGGTATGAGTTAGGAACGCTTGACCTTTGACCTTCACCCTCCTCTTTCTCATGCCGGGGTTACCCCACCTCCTCACAGACACCTTCGCCTAGCCCCGCTCTTAAATCCAGGAAATGTCCTGTCGCCTCCCGTCTCTGTTAGAGTGTAGTGAGGGAATTACTGACACGCTTCTCTAGGCAACCCTGAGCTAAATCATTGACAGATTTACCTTACTGGATTTATTTACCTGCCATCAAAAGTGGAAAAATGAATACCGTTATGGTGACATACTGTACAACCATCCATTTAAACTAGCCCCATGTAGTGAATGTCATGTGTTTGTTAACAATTCGTTTTGGATTTGTGTGGGTTTGCCACAGATATTATTCTCTATTGTTTTAGTGATGGAGTACACTAATAAGCAAGTCCGATTTCTCAATGCCGTAAAATAAAAGTCAATAAACCTTTCACTCTCTCCCTCTGAGAAATCTGCCTCATCACCTTTATTTATCTCACTAAACCCGACTGCAAATTTGCTTTGATTCACTCTGAGAGTCGCTTCTGTGGCTCCTATTACACATTTAATCTAAGGCCCATTTGTTTGGATTGAATTTACCTCATAAACCCAAGCAGAACAGGTGAACCTTGTCATGTTTAGTGTCTGATAGAAGGTGATGTTGCAGTTTATCAGTATACAATCACAGGTATTCACATTGACTTTATCAGTCCTAATAGTTCTTCTCATAGAGGTCATATAAAAATAGTTTTTTTTTATTACATGTATTAGTACCTTATTTTCCTCTCTTTCTTTTTTTAGAGACTTACGATGACTTTGACTCCCGAGTGATCGAGGTGAGTGCTCTTCAAATACTAACCCAAAATGTTGGAATCGGTTATCATGATATTAACCCAGCCCAAAAGGGTATGTCGGAGCATCTAGCAAAGTCTGTAGTTTGAAAAAGCAGGGCAGACACAATGTAGTAACGTAGTGCTATTTGGTGTCTTTGAAGAAAAGTGGATGGGATCCCTTTGATGGTTGATGTTCCCGGTCCCTGGGAGAGCTGTGTTTGATCTGTGGAGGCTGGCTGGGAGGCTGTCTTGAGTGTCCCCTGCTGCTTGCCGTAACTCCTTGCTCGGTGAGGAACAGCACCTAGTTGAGGAGCTGGGTGCCGACGGGCCTCTGAACCTCCCTGATCGAAACATGAACCACGGTTGAACTCACTGGGCTAAGACCAGGAGAGGATACGACCATTGAGTGCGCACACATAAACACAAGCCCTACCACAGTCATGCTATAGTCAGTGTATTAAAAAAGGGCAAATTACTCGTATGTTTACACTCACCGATACATCTCACCTCTACATGCATCACTCCTACTCGTGCACGAACTGAAGTTTGGTGGGGGGCTAAAGGGAATGTCAACCCACCTTCCACCCTCCAAACATTGCTAACATAACATGATTCCACTTGCATGCTCTCTGTCTCCCAAATGACGGTTCTATGTCATGACTGCATGAGAGAGACTGTAGGCACAGCCATGTTGTCAGCACTGAGGTCTCACTGCGACTCAACCCCCCCTAACAGAGGAAATGATGTGATGTTTTCTATTTTGGTAAATGGAGGAAAGTACGGTGATGTGAATATGGCGGTGATATGGATATTACTAATACGTTGTTATCAGGGGCACCCCTCTGAGAGGATATTCAAATATAGACTGAGTCGATTACAAAACACTTTGATAAACAAGCCAACCGTCACGCAAAACAAACTCCTCACCGTCCTCATTATGTGGCCGAGAGAGAGCGAGAGTGGAAGAGAGAGAAGAGAGGGGCTACCGAGATTCAGGGGTACATTTAGCCTCCCCATCCAGTATTAAGAGATCTCTCATGGTAATGATGGTCTTTCCATTTAGGCTAATTTAATACAAATTGATGTAGTGGAGGGCCCAAACAAACAGGGACCATCCATAGAGGTTATTTGCGGGGCCCCGTTTTTCAAAAGAATTGAAGAATGGGATTTGGGAATGCAGCCTGACCTTTAATCAGGAATAAATGTCATTTGTGTGTTTTTCAAAGGTGATTAGGATCGTTTTGATGCCGAAAATCGGGATTATCTTGATCCCACTGGAAGGGTGGATTTAGAAAGGTGAAAGGCACTACAACAATAAATTTCAATATTTCAATGTAACTAAGGTGACAAGGTTGAAAAACCTTTCTTACATCTGAAAACCAAGGGTTCATGATGTTAAATTGACCGCAGTATAGGTATTGTAGTAAAGGTCAGTTGTTATATTGAGAAGTGTCAAATAAATGGGTGTACTTACTTATAAGGGATATATGCAGGCTCTATTATTTTTATTCCATCTACCTTTTACGTAGTTTACTCATTGCTGTTTCCCAATGACAGTGTAGAAGTAGTACCATAACTGTCCAGTAGATGGCAAGGTGTAGGACTGTTCAAAGCACTGAAAAAACAGATTCTGTGATCTTGATATTTTGGTATCTGGATCAGAATCATCCTATCCGATTTCTGAAAAACCGGCTCAAAAACAGCCAGATTTATCTGATCCTGAATTGCAAAAAAGAGGATTACAGAATCCGGATCATTCTGATCCAGATTAAAAATTTTGAAAAACTGGGCCCAGTTGGATTCCCTACTGAAATCCACTCCAAAGCATTAAGCCATTGTAATAAAGTCAATTTATACCTGCAGCAATGTACCTGCACCACTTTTCCTTTTTGCTGTGTAATTCCACAGTGATTCTTAAGGGGTAGACGAATTGGTTGCCATTTAATTTTTCAGCCCGAATTTAAGGTGCATAATGCATCGTGGATCGTTGTTGAAGGTCAAGTTGTGGTTTGAAATGTCTGCGGGTGTCAGGTTTAATGTGGGTCTGAGAAGGCTGCAGCCCTCTCCATTTCAGTTCTGTCCATTGCACTCCCTCTCCCTCCTCTTTTTCCCAAAGTGAGTGCTAGCCCCCTGTTCTCAGCATGGTGGTACAGTCCACGTTAGATGTTCTTCTCCGTGACCCGTGAGCCACTAATAGATGCGGTAAAGAGGTCAATTGGACTCGACCAAAACAATGGAATTTGCCATGGAAACGTGGGAGGAAAAGAGCGGTGGGTGAAAGAGACCGAGTCTCCTCATTGACTTCCAGCAAAATGTGTTTACATTTAGGCTATGTTAGGTTAAAAATGATTGTATAATGCTTGTATGGATGTCAACCCCAACACATGTTCATGTCATTGTTGCCAATCAACTGCATTACAGTTAAAAATAACTTTGACTACTATCATCGATTTCTGTGTGCTAGTTATGCTAACCGGCTTATACGAACGGGAGTTAGCATTTAGCAGTTACTTCTTCTAAACCTGAAAAGGGAGAACTTCTACATGTTATGCAGCAAAAGCCAAATATATCAAAATCGGACTTAAGTAAGCACATTGTGGGCTTGTTATAATAGATAAATCATGACGGATTTGACGAATATACACTTTGTTAGATCAGATTTGTTGAATGTGCGCCAATCTGGTCAACGTCTGCATTCCATTGTCTCCTTTACCACATCTGTGTTTGTTCTGTTCTAATTCTAAAGACACTACTGCCTGACCAGGTTTCACACACCTCCCCTTTCCAATCTGTCAATCAGGTCCTTGAGCTGTGATTGACCAGTGAGTGGCTGAATGGTGTAGCAAGCCACTTGGCAGATGCTTAGATGGCAGATGGGTCATTCGGATGAAAGCCAGAGCGGATATGTCCCTATGTCTCTCTGTTTGTCCAACATAGCTCAATGCTGTGATCGTTTTCTTAACATGTTGGTGATATTTCTTTTGAATCTGAACATGAGGCTGAGTACTTGACATTCCCCTCAAAGCCTTGCGGGCTGATTAAAGTACTTGTTCCTTTACATGTGAGCTGTGGTTGCCTGTACAGTATTTACAATCCTCTTGAACATAAAGGAACCGCTATAGATTCCTATTGAAAGAGGGAGAATACCTGTCACTTGGAGACAGAGAGAAAAACAGCGGGAAAAGTGTTGGGAAAATACAAAGAGTTAAGATGAAAGGAGGGGAACGAGGGGATGTAAAGGAACACAATGGATGTTTCTCTTGTGTAAGAGATTTTGCTGGAATGACCTTAGAGGTCCATGTCGGCCTACTGTTCTGTTTTGTTGCTATATGTCGTTCATTCTGTTAAGGCAGCATTATGACAGCATTATGACAGCTGTATTCAGAGGTTGGGCATGTGTTGGGCCCAGTGTCCAACTGTGATATATCGTCATGTGGCCAGCATTGACCCAGGGCTGTAGCAATCAACTAATTAAATATGTCCTGCATGCGTTGCACTGATAATCCTCCCCAGCCTCTGTATGTGCTCCTCTTCATATAAATAATACAGAGCCACAGACACTTGTGTCCCCCGGAAACTGTTGGATCAGTTTATGAGTTCTATCTCCCTATAAATATACATGAATTAAATGAAATGCTTCCTGGAAAGGGGGGATTCCTCCCCCAAGGACAATAGCACCATGTCATTAGTTAGTCAATGGGTTGGGACATGAGAGTGCACTTGCATAGGAAATGGAGATGGCTTGGCTCCAATGGCACGGAGACTCAGGCCTCTCACAACTAATTTCATTAAAAGGGGATGAATACCATTACGGATGTGTTGTATAACTACTAGCTACACAACCTTCAAAGTATCCCCAAAAGTCAAAGATTTGTTTTTCAAAGACACACCACTCTTGCAGTAGAATGAAATGTGTGCTCTGTTTTCTATACCCATGGTAGTTAATCCATTCCATACAGTAGCTCAGTGAGTCTCCAGTATGCACATAGTGAAGTGGTGCACTGTGTGTGGTCCATTAGTCTTGTGCCAGCCAACACGGCTCAGTGTTTACAGTACTATATTGTTAATCAACACATAGCAGTACAGTTTATTTCAATCTTCCTCCACAGTCCAGGGGTGTATTCATTCCACCGATTCTGTTGCAAAACGTTTCTTAAACGGAAGCAAATTAAACGGGTAGGGACCTACCTGAATTTTTCCAATAGAAGCTCTCCAATAGTTTGCTTCCATTTGGTTCTTAAATGGTAAACGGTTTGCCTAATGAATACACCCCTGATGAGTCCCACCATGACACCCAGCACCAGCTCCTCTAGGATATCACTTCCCAACACTCCCTCCCTGCCTCGCATTGCACTGGCAAACTTTCATTTTATGACTTCATGCATGTTTAACAGTTGCAATTATGTTTTCTGCGATGGCAATTTGCCAGGGCACCTGCTAACTTGAGTTAAATCAGTATGAGGGTTCCAGACGCAATGTTGGTTCCTAATTGTATTCGGGTTAATAGAAAACAATTCTCTGCGGCTGAGAGAGATACTTGGTAATAAGCAGCAAATGGCAACAAGAATATAATGGCAAAGTGGCTTAACGGCGCTGCCAATTACATTAGCTTGCAACTAGAGCTCTCCTTGTCTGACTCTCTCTTTCTCTCTATTGCCCCCTCTCTCGCTTTCTCTTTCTCTCTCTCTCCCTCCCTCTCTGTGGGTCTCAACACATTGACATTGGAGTCATATTTTATGGTGAAATACCCAGCTGTTATGGTTTCCTCCTCTAAATGGAATCATATGTTGGGTTTAGGTTTTAGCAGGCTTTGAAAGTATTGCTATAATGAGAGTTCTTCTTTCTCGCACATGCATACACCTTCAAACAAACAGGATCTGCAGTGGGGTTGTGTCTCTCTGGCTGGCCACTGGCAGTTCCCTTTCACATAGGGAACAGCTGACCCGCAAAGGCTCATAACCCACCTAGACAGAGAGTTGGACAAAGGGGAACTTCTGAAGTCAGTGTTGTTGAGTTAGGAGCAGAGTTCTGTTGGACCGGTACCAGCTCTACATCTGTTCTCTCCAGCTGTTCTGTCCTGGTTCTACTGTCTGTGACTGCTGTGAGCCCTGGGAGGACCTCTGGGGCTGGGGCCTTTTACTGTCCAGCTGTACCAACTCCCATGGGGGGAGGGAAAGAGTGGAGAGATTGGATGGGGTGAGGGTACTGGTAGGATGTGTTAGGGTGTGAGGGGGTCATTGGGGTGTGAGTAGAGGAGTGTGTAACCTAGTAGGTGTGTTCTTGTGTGTCTGTGTTCACTTGTGTATATGTTTGTGTGTGTTACAAGTGTGAATGTGTGTAGAGCAGCCGTTGTCTCTCCTCCAGTGCTGTATGTATGGCTAACCCTCAGCCATGTCATATGCTCACACTGCCCCCTGCTGCCTCCCAGGTTACACTGCAGCTCGTAAATCTGGCCGGAGGGAGGGGAATAGAGTGAATGAACAGGGAAGGGCAGCACTCGTCTGTCTATCCCGATCGATGGGAGACAATTAAATCTTATGAGGGATGAGATGGGCTGTCTCCCCAGGGGCAAACATACACACACACACATCGCCTCTAGACACCGGCAGGAACTTTACTCAGTCGAAACGAGTGGCGCAGTGGTCTAAGGCACTGCATCGCAGTGCTAGCTGTGCCACTAGAGATCCTGGTTCAAAATCCAGGCTCTGTCGTAGCCGGCCGCGACCGGGAGACCCATGGGGCGGCGCACAATTGGCCCAGCGTTGTCCAGGGTAGGGGAGGGAATGGCCGGCAGGGATGTAGCTCAGTTGGTAGAGCATGGCGTTTGCAACGCCAGGGTTGTGGGTTTGATTCCCACGGGGGGCCAGTATAAACAAACAAACAAACAAAAAAATATTGTAAGTCGCTCTGGATAAGAGCGTCTGCTAAATGACTAAAATGTAAATGTAATGTAATGAAACATCGGACACAAAGTGGACATAGTGGTACTGGGGCCTTGAAGGAAAGGTCAGTCCCTCTTAAAAAGCCAAAGGTTTAATAAGGTGCTCCCTGCATTCTGTTTGATAGCGATTGATAATTTGTACGTTTGACTATACACGCTGGTCATTTTTTTAATTTATTTTTTATGACTTTTAGGAAGAAAGCAATAACATCGAGAGAGAGGGAGTGACAGAGAAATAATAAGTTTATCACCAAATCCAATTAACCTGGGGCTTGCCTCCCTTTAGTTCTCCCCCAGGGCCCATCCTCTGCTTTATAATAGGATGTCTATGAATTCAGTGACATTCTGCCTCCCATAAAGAGGAGCTGTTTCACATTGTTCTGGTCTGAGGTAATGGGTCGTTTAGTTCTCCTCCGCTTCAGTTCCACTCCCTGACTCTCAGGAGAGATTGAAATGGTCTTGCTGGGTTCTAAATCCCGATAGAAGTTGTTTATTCTCCAAGATAATGTTTTTGTAATGCTATCCTGACTGTCCTCTTTAGGGGTCAATCTAAGCTATCCCTTGTGGATGCTGCTAAGCTATTTTAACCTTATGGTTGTTGTTTGAGTTTCAAGTTCAAGTTTTATTATTGACAGGTGAAGAGCGTGTTCAACATGACAGCCAAAGAGGGCCGGAAGAGGTCCATCAGCTGCCTGGTCGCCGTTGGCAATGGGAACGGAGCAGCAGGTGAGTCCAAAACCCTGCTGGAGAGTAGCTCTCCAGGAGAAGTGGTGGCCACTTCTGAGCTAGTTAGCTAGCTACACTCTCAGGGTGCAAAGCCTCAATCTACTTTTTCCTCAGTGTGGCGCTTGAAAGCTTTCAGTTCACTGAGACAGATGAGTGTCTTTCTTTGATCGTAACTTTGCTGCCAAAAATGTATGATACCGCATCATGGATTGGAATGTGATTGGTTTATCTGTAGAAGCTGTCAGCTTAATGAATGATAATTTTTTCTGGCTTGTTCCGCCTAACTGTCAAGTTAGCATGAAAAGTGGAACGATAAAGTAATCTGATATGGAAACTATGACAAGCTGATGTGGATGAAACCAAAAACATATATTTTTTAATTTTTCTATATACATTTACTTATTTCCATCTTTTGTCCTGCAGGTTTTGCCTTGGGTAAAGCGGCAGACCGTCAAACTGCACTGAGAAAGGTAAAATGTTGCCCCCTAACCTGGAAAATACCCATACTGGCACTGTATACAGTATGTGTTCAATTATGGAAGTGGCTTTGTTGAAATGTGGATACACTGACACACTGTCAATGGTCTTCTTCCCACAACAGGCAAAGAACCGAGCAGTGCACTATCTGTACTACATTGAGAGATACAACGACCACACTAGTAAGTCACTATGTGTGTGGGAGGGTCTCTGCGTGCATCAGTTTGAGTATGAGATCAGAATGTTTTGAGTCTTCCTCTCTCATCATTTGTACTCCATCTTCTCTTGGCCCATTCGGACACAGGCCTGTTGAATAGGGGTCTGTTCTGGCTAACGTGGTTTTTGTGCTTAATGTCTGAACAGCAAACCAGGCTTTTTTCTATGCAAACCCTTGGACTGTAAGTGAGCAAGCTCAAATAATATCTTGGCTATTCCCTCAGCATAGACTAATTAAACTACAAAATATGTCAACAGTAATGTTGTTGCTAAATGTTTTCTGCAGAGGGGCTGTTGCTACAAATCGGTAGATCAAAGAGAAGTGTTTCACTCTGTAGGGGGTTGTGCATCTTTCTCTTGCTGTAAGTTTGTCTCTGTGTGAGTCACACACACACACACACACTGAAAGAGGCTGTTCCTAACAGGCCCAGACCTCCTGCAGCAGCTACTGCAAATATTCTGTTCTGTGGGTGATGTGTGTGTGAGACCATGCCGGCCCAGGCTAACACAGGCTGGCTCTTTGACTACCGTCACTAACCCACTCACGGTTACACCCGCTCAAGGCTCTGACTCATCATCCATGGTTCATCAGGAGTAGGGTTGCAAAGGGAGGGTATATTACTGGTAACTTTCTAAGTAACCAATAAACAACTTTCAAGTTTTTTATTTTACCACCTGACATTTAGGGGCCTTTTTGAGTACTTCAGATTGTCATGTGAATGACAAACTGTAAAACATCCTAAATATAAACCAACTTAGTGAATACTATTGGTGTTTAATACAATGTCTTGGTGCCAAACTGGTGGCAGTGTCTCATTGCTGCAACTCCCCAACGGGCTCAGGAGAGGCAAAGGTCAAGTCATGTGTCCTCCGAAACATGACCTGCCAAACCACACTTCTTAACACCCGCCCGCTTAACCCAGAGGAAACACCGTCCAACTGACAACCAATGTCAGCCTGCAGGCGCCCGGCCCGCCACAAGGAGTCGCTAGATGTGCCAAGTAAAGCTAAACCCTCCCCTAACCCAATTGAAGCTGGGCCAATTGTGCGACGTCCTACAGGCGGCCGGTTGTGACACAGCCTGGGATCGAACCCGGGTCTATAGTGACGCCTCAAGCACTGTGATGCCTTAGACCACTGCGCCACTCGGGAGGCCCTGTTGAGTAGATTATTTTTTCATTAATTAGGCTATTTTCTCTTGAACCATATGGTCTATCCACTTGAAACTCATGGACAATATGGACAGATATTTAAAAATATATATTAATATATGAATAAATGTTTTTAAGTTATTCAAGTATAAATTACCTAAATTGCCATAGATTACTTGTTAATTACCAAAATTAGCAATAGTTACTGGTAGTTTTGCAACCCTAATCGGGAGAAATCCGAAAACGGCCCCCTATTCACTATTTTGTGCAGGACCGGCTGGGATGAGCTGACGACTGACAGCTGGGTTGACTTGGATGTTTTTTTTCTTCTGTTTTTAACAGTTTACCATGATATCAATTCCACTTTCAAGAGAACCACCCTACTCATGAAGAAACAGCATAAAGGTATAGTAGAGCATGAATATGTGTGTGTGTGTTTTTTTCATGGCTGCCACCTAGAAGAGCAACATGTTGATGAGTGTTGAACTGACCCCAGCACTGGAAATTATACCATGACATACTCTACACACACACACACAAACACACACAGTCGCTCTGATACTGTTCGTGTCACAAATCTATTCACTCACATAAAGGAACCCACACCTCTCTCTCTCTCATTTACACCCTGTCATGTAAACCTCCTCAGAGGCAGATGGGATTATGAAACTCCAGTGTAGTTGTGTCGGCGACACCGGGTTCTCCAGCTCAGGAGGAGTATCAACTCAGACCTTTGTCCTCACACACAACACTAGTGTCAGAGTCTGTTCTACAGTCTTAGACTCAAGCGATGTAGGCACAACCTCTCCTAAATATATAACTTATTAGTTGGGTATCAGTTAATACTCCTAACGGTGCAGGTTTTTTATGTGTATGAGTATATGTGCTTATGTGAGTGTCATTTTTTTGCAATGGAAGAGTCATAAACAACACTGTGATAGGCATGGAGGTTGGCTACTAGTATGTGTCTTTCTGTCTGTCTCTAGGTTACGGACTACACTGTCACCGCGCGGTCATCACCATCTGTAAGCTGATTGGTGTAGAGGACATGTACGCCAAGGTAGAGGGCTCCGTCAACCTTCTTAACATCACCAGGGCTCTGTTCACCGGACTGGCCAATCAGGTGAGCCGTTGTCAACATCGTCAGGGAGACCTGCTGGCTCTCGGCCAATCGCAGGAACTCTTCCTGCAAAAACATAGACAAGCTCTGAACTCACACACACACAAACACACACACAGACACTGCTTTAGATTAACCCTCTCCCCTTCTCTTTCTATAGGAGACCCACCAGTCTCTGGCGGAAAAGAAGCAGCTCCACGTGGTAGAGTTTCAGCCGGAGCGCGGGCCCCTGCCCCTCATCGTGGCCACCCCTAAGAAGGGTGTACGTCCCGACCCCGAACCTGAGGAAGAGATCCCCAACACGCGGCTCAACTGGGACGACGTCCGTGCTGCTCAGGGCATGAAACGCTCCGTCTGGGCCGGGGTCAAGAGGACCATCTGGTGACCGCAACACAATCGTAACACAAACAGAACACAAGACCAGCCCTATGGACTGGTTGGGATATGTTGGAGCGATGTTTGGCTGGATTCAGGTTGTTGGGTTGAGAGTGTGACTAGGAAGGAAGCCTGTCTCTCAGGCATCATAAGACTGGAGCCCCATGGAGGTCATCATCAAGAGACTCACCCCATTAAGAGACTCACCCCAGTGTTAATTACATCATCAAACCTAGACATTTACTGTATGCATATGTATAGCATCATGACTTTGTATTTCACCAAAGGTTGTGAAATACGGCCAAAAGAGTTTCACATCCAAACAGTTTAACTCAACCAATGGATTATCTTTTTGGACTGTAAGAATAGTGTTGTTTCAAAATCACTTGTTCATGTGACATTGTTGAAAATGTGAGCTGTCTAATTAAACATTGAAACTCTCCAAAATGGCTTGAGCTGTGATCTATTGCTTTTGAAAGACCTGTCGAGACATTTCCTGCTAAGATGCCAGTTATAGTGATTGTTTGTGTATACCGTTACTCCTCAGCATCTGTCTGTCGCTCGCTCCAGAGGCTCTTGATGTTTTAGCTTTTCAGGGATTTCAGCCTACACTCCAATATGCCACTAATAACATATTCGCAACGTTTTACAAACATCATGAAAACCAAACTCGGTGGTAAGAATGCACCAAGAAAATGGCTTCAAATAACTCAAGTGCTTTTAACAGTGAATGACTTTGTAAACACAAAGTATTATGTTCTGCCATACTTTACCGTACTCTGTGGCTTCCCATGTTATCTCTCCTTGACTATGATCTGACTCTGTTAATGTGTATAATTATTCTCTTATAATGGCCCCTGTAGTAAACCTATGAGTTATGAATAATTCAGTGTGTGTGTGGCAGGAAGTCTCTTTGGTTTGAAGTCTGAAGAAGCATTAATTCACACATGAGAAGTTCTCCAAAAAAGGAATCTTTCCAATAGTACCATCTGTCTTAAGCCAGACAGGCATTTCAATAATGTTCTGTTAATGTGATCTTGAATTTGTCTTGAACTTGGTGGTTGACATTATGGTAGGATTCAAAAAAGTAATAAACTCTTTCAGCTGAAAGAGCACATGACTAGGGTTGCAAAGCTACCAGTAATTTACAGAAAAATCTATGGTGACTTTGGTAATTAGGACTTTAAATCATATTATTATTATTCTGCACGCTACTCCTCTTACACCCTTTAAAAATGTAGAACGGTCTGGAATAGTGTGCTTACATTGAACTTTTTGATGTATTTTATACTTTTGTGTCGATCTTCATTCACTAATGGTACTTTTTCAACATTCTAAAGCTCACCATTGTGACATGACTTCTGACATTCAATATAAACAACGTTTGACACAAATCAGCTAATTCTACCACTTTCCCATCAACTTAGACAAAACAAAGAGAGTATGACATCTTGGTCTACTTCTCTGCTATTCAAATCTGGAATGGGAACATAAATACACTGCTCAAAAAAAATAAAGGGAACACTTAAACAACACAATGTAACTCCAAGTCAATCACACTTCTGTGAAATCAAGCTGTCCACTTAGGAAGCGACACTGATTGACAATACATTTCACATGCTGTTGTGCAAATGGAATAGACAACAGGTGGAAATTATAGGCAATTAGCAAGACACCCCCAATAAAGGACTGTTTTTGCAGGTGGTGACCACAGACCACTTCTCAGTTCCTATGCTTCCTGGCTGATGTTTTGGTCACTTTTGAATGCTGGCGGTGCTTTCACTCTAGTGGTAGCATGAGACGGAGTCTACAACCCACACAAGTGGCTCAGGTAGTGCAGCTCATCCAGGATGGCACATCAATGCGAGCTGTGGCAAGAAGGTTTGCTGTGTCTGTCAGCGTAGTGTCCAGAGCATGGAGGCGCTACCAGGAGACAGGCCAGTACATCAGGAGACGTGGAGGAGGCCGTAGGAAGGCAACAACCCAGCAGCAGGACTGCTACCTCCACCTTTGTGCAAGGAGGAGCAGGAGGAGCACTGCCAGAGCCCTGCAAAATGACCTCCAGCAGGCCACAAATGTGCATGTGTCTGCTCAAACGGTCAGAAACAGACTCCATGAGGGTGGTATGAGGGCCAGACGTCCACAGGTGGGGGTTGTGCTTACAGCCCAACACCGTGTAGGACGTTTGGCATTTGCCAGAAAACACCAAGATTGGCAAATTCGCCACTGATGCCCTGTGCTCTTCACAGATGAAAGCAGGTTCACACTGAGCACGTGACAGACGTGACAGAGTCTGGAGACGCCGTGGAGAACGTTCTGCTGCCTGCAACATCCTCCAGCATGACCGGTTTGGTGGTGGGTCAGTCATGGTGTGGGGTGGCATTTCTTTGGGGGGCCGCACAGCCCTCCATGTGCTCGCCAGAGGTAGCCTGACTGCCATTAGGTACCGAGATGAGATCCTCAGACCCCTTGTGAGACCATATGCTGGTGCGGTTGGCCCTGGGTTCCTCCTAATGCAAGACAATGCTAGACCTCATGTGGCTGGAGTGTGTCAGCAGTTCCTGCAAGAGGAAGGCATTGATGCTATGTACTGGCCCGCCCGTTCCCCAGACCTAAATCCAATTGAGCACATCTGGGACATCATGTCTCACTCCATCCACCAACGCCACGTTGCACCACAGACTGTCCAGGAGTTGGCGGGTGCTTTAGTCCAGGTCTGGGAGGAGAACCCTCAGGAGACCATCCGCCACCTCATCAGGAGCATGCCCAGGCGTTGTAGGGAGGTCATACAGGCACGTGGAGGCCACACACACTACTGAGCCTCATTTTGACTTGTTTTAAGGACATTACATCAAAGTTGGATCAGCCTGTAGTGTGGTTTTCCACTTTAATTTTGAGGGTGACTCCAAATCCAGACCTCCATGGGTTGATAAATTTGATTTCCATTGATAATTTTTGTGTGATTTTGTTGTCAGCACATTCAACTATGTAAAGAAAAAGGTATTTAATAAGATTATTTCATTCATTCAGATCTAGGATGTGTTATTTTAGTGTTCCCTTTATTTTTTTGAGCAGTGTATAATGTACAGATCTAACTATACAGCTGTTTTAGTAACCACATCAACAACTTTTCGCCTCAATTTTTTCAAACTGCCGTCAATCAAATGATCCATAGCTTATAGGCTACGAAGTGCATGCTCGGAGAAGCACAGAGCAAAGTTATATTTCTAAAATAGCTGCTGGGATGGTGTAAATAAAACTAGGCTGCATTACACACTACAATGGATAATCCAACCCTGAGCCCTGGCCTGCTCTGCTCTTGCTGATATTACAAAAAAAAATGGTGTGCTGCCTAACCAATGGCTGTGCTGTGTAGGCCTGCAGTGGCAGTTCAGGACGAGAGTCAAATACTTTTTTTATTAGGCCTAGTCCAAAAAATGTTGAGTGCGGACTAGCCTATAGCCTATGTTCTATTCAGTTTGAGAAGGAGAGCGCAAAGATGAGGAGGACCGGAGGTCAACGTTGATAGCTTTGAAAACAACATGTTTATTTATTTATCAGAGTTATTAACCTCACAATAAGCCAGATTCGAGTAACTTACATTGTGATACTGAAACTTGAAGCAGCAGCCGCGGCACAAATCAATCGGAAATGGACAGCTCATGGTGCTGAAAGTGGTCAAATTTGAGTAATTCATTTCAACCATCTTCATTTTAATTTACTAACAACAAGGGGGCTTCGTGTTTCAGCCTAATTCTTCCTATTTAAGAAATAACAGGTAGGCCTACCTGTTTGACAGACGAAATTAGGCTATAGGCTGCTATATCCATGTCAATACCTCCACCCACCATGCACTCTTTAAATAGCCTACCTCCAAGTCAGTGAAAGGCTGTTAAGTTAAAATCAAGACTCAAATTGATAGGATATGCCATAGACCTAACTTTTATTAAAGAAAATGGCAACAACAAAAAATAACACAGGCCTATAACTTTGGTCCGTGATGCTTTATGCTAGAAACAAGCTGTAAAATACCCGGGAAAGACGTGACTCCCATGCATATGGGGCAACCTGGTCTCAGAGCATTTGCTATTATTCTGTAAGTAAATTCGAGACACAACATTTAGTATGACATGTTACGTTTGTATTGGTATGTATTCATTTTTGGATGTCCATTGCCCATTTCGTATGATATGTTACGAATTTGAAAAATGTACAATATGTTACGAATTTGCAGAAGGTATGATATGTTACGAATTTAGCTAGCTCGCTAATGTTAGCTAGCTCGCTAACATTAGCTAGGCTAGGGGTTAGGGTTAGCGGTTAGGTGAAGTGTTAGCTAACATGCTAAGTAGTTGCAAAGTATCTAAAAAGTAGTAAGTCATTTAAAGTAGCTAATTAGCTAGAATTGTCCATGATGAGATTCGAACTCACAAGCTTTAGGTTGCTAGACGTTCACGTTATACACTCACCCATCCACCCCAACCAACCATCCTACAAACATAACATATAATACTAAATGGTGTGTTGCAGATTTACGTACAGAATAATATGAAATGTTCTGAGACCTGGTTGCAACAGGATATCGCAATTTAATTTATTTGACATTCAGAGGCTGAGCTACAACCTATAGCCAAGGAGACAAAAAGTAGACTTTGCAGCTATCAGGAAATAACACTGATCAAATTGTTCACACTTTTACAGTGTTAGTTTCATCAGCAGTTGTACAGTGCATTGGGAAAGTATTCAGACCCCTTGACTTTTTCCACATTTTGTTACCTTACAGCCTTATTCTAAAATGTATTAAACGAAATGTTTTCCTCATCAATCTACACACAATACCCCATAATGACAAAGCGAAAACAGGTTTAAAGATTTGTTTGCAAATGTATAATAAAAAAAAACAGACATACCTCATTTACATAAGTATTCAGACCCTTTTCTATGAGACTCGAAATTCAACTCAGGTGCATCCCGTTTCCATTGATCATCCTTGAGATGTTTCTACAACTTCATTGGAGGCCACCTGTGGTAAATTCAATTGATTGGACAAGATTTGGAAAGGCACACACCTGTCTACATAAGGTCCCACTGTTGACAGTGCATTTCAAAGCAAAAAGCAAGCCATGAGGTCGAAGGAATTGTCCATAGAGCTCAGAGATAGGATTGTGTTGAGGCACAGATCTGGGGAAGGGTACAAAAAAATTTCTGCAGCATTGAAGGTCCCCAAGAACACAGTGGCCTCCATCATTCTTAAATGGAAGAAGTTTGGAACCACCAAGACTCTTGCTAGAGCTGGCCAAACTGAGCAATCGGGAGAGAAGGAACTTGGTCAGGAACGTGACCAAGAACCCGATGGTCACTCTGACAGAGATACAGAGTTCCGCTGTGGAGATGGGAGAACCTTCTAGAAGGACAACCATCTCTGCAGCACTCCACCAATCAGGCCT